CAGAGCTGCTGGGCCCAGCAGCTCTGAACTCCCCGAAAGCCTTTCAGACCCTGAGCTCCGAACCTCAAGGCACGGGTTGATTTAGGGTTAGGGTTTAGGGTTTAGGGGTTTAGGGGTTTAGGGTTTAGGGTTTAGGGTTTAGGGTTTAGGGTTTAGGGTTTAGGGTTTAGGGCTGTCAACGTGCGGCATGGAGAACTCAAGAAGTAAGATCTGCAACTTCGGGCACAACGCACATGGACAGTTTTCGGAATTAGGGTCCCTGTTTATGTACCGAAAATAGTACGCCACCCTTTATAAAAGGAACCCTAAACCCTAAACCCTAAACCCTAAACCCTAAAAGGGACCTTAGTTTAGAGAACTACCCACATACAACCCGACATCCTACCGAACCAAGGAGCCTGAAACCGAATACTTAGAAGCCCTGTGAGGGCTTAGGGTTTAGGGCTTAGGGTTTTGAGCTTAGGGTTTAGGGTTTAGGGTTTACGGATTAGGGTTTTGAGCTTAGGGTTTAGGGTATAGGAGTTTAGGATTTAAGGTTTAGGGCTTTACCAACAGTATACGGCAGTGTGGATGCAAGGGTTGCGGGCCGGTGGACACTAAATTCTACAGGGCCTACCTGTAGTTTGAGGGTTCCTTGTGTTCGCTTAATATGTAATTCCTTAAACAGGTCCGTGTTTTGGGCCACAGGTAAAGTCACAGGTGTTTTGATCCAGGACTCTTCCTGCACACGGAAACATACATGTACGATTAAATCTAAATCCCGTGTCCATTACCCTCAAAGGACTCATATTTTAAGGCTTTTGCGCCCAAAGACCCTATTTTGTATAAGGCTTTAGGGCTATTTTGATGCTACGGGTGTGATATCGAAGTCAAGCAATACGTGTCTGCCCAGGGCGGTGGGTCAGCACCTAAGTGCTGCCGATGATGGCGTGAGCGAAGGGTTTTGAGGGTTTCAGGATTTAGGGAAGGGTTTAGGGTTTAGGGTTAACCTCTCAAAGGTTCTGAGGTCGGGATTTGCAGGATCTGAGGGTTGACCTCTCAAAGGTTCTTAGGTCGGGATTTGCAGGTTCTGAGGCATTTAGGGGTTTCGATCGAGCGGGTTTCCTTGTAACGGAGAAACATAGCTTTGATGCATCATGCATCCTCAAAACTGATTCAGTAGATCTTCAATGTAGAGTGACCAACATAAGGACCCCTAACAAGAGCCTCTGACATTCAGAAGCCAACCGTGTGAGTTTAGGGTGTACTCTGGGTAGGGAGAACCCTAAACACTTGAACCCGAAAAACCTAACCCACCGGCACCACCCAACTGCAATATTCTCTTCAGGCATTCCGATAGGGTTCTGGTACCAACATAGTAGCATGTAGGATTTCCATGGTGTAGGAATGACAATTATGAGTTGGAGAAGTATCCCTTTGGGAGAAAGATGCTATAAGCTACGGGACATGGTGGCCTAGAGGGTCCCAACCTCCCCTCGGTTTGAGCCGTTTACAGAGGCTCCAGTTGCGTGGATAGTTAGTAAGTTGTATAAGCTAGTGACCTCACATCGCCTTCAATATCATAACATCAGGCCTTAGGGTTTCGGGTTTGTATGTATCCGAGTAACACCTTCAACACATGGGAGCCCCACCAAACCTTAAGCCCAACTAGGAGGCCCTACATTCCTTGTGCCCTCAGTGTAGGGTTTAGGGTACTGGGTTTAGGGTTTAGGAGTTTAGGGTTTAGGGGGTTCTGGGTTTAGGGTTGAGGGTGCCTCAGGCCGGAAACCTTGAAACCCCAAAAACCCGAAATGTAGGACATTTTCAGGTGGGTAGTTGCCGCTATCGGAGCCTTATAGAAGGTCTATACCTTATAGAAGCCTTGTAGAAGCCCTATATACCCTAAACTCCCCACCTGCAGATTCCTTTAACTAGAAGCCGTGAAATTCGCCGAGGCTCCTGCACGCCCTCGGCGCCATCGGTGGCCTCTGGGAGTCGTGTCCGTGGGCATCCCTTGACCCAAGAGGCCTCCCGTTTTCCAGATCCCAAGGGTGGTAATATAGGGGCCTGAATAATT